CGTCTGCACGCCCTACTTCCGCTGCGACGAGGCGAACATCCTCAGCGATGGACTCGGCGGGTTCGACCTGCGCATCGGCAAGCAACAGTTCGAGAGCGAATTCGAATTTATCACGCACTCGGAGTGCCCGCGATACGGCGATGTCTGCTGCACGCGACCGATTGCCGATCCCGATATCTCTGAACCTTACGTACCGCAGTGCGGCCGCCGCAACCAGCTCGGCATCGGTGCCAGAATCCTCGGCTTCAAAGACAATGAGACGCAGTTTGGCGAGATCCCCTGGATGGCGGTCGTACTGGGCGTGGAGGAAGTGGGTGGCGAGGAGCGCAACTTCTTCGAGTGCGGCGGCTCGCTGATTCACCCGCAGGTGGTGATGACCGCCGCCCACTGTGTGCACAGCCTGAACGAGACAGCACGCCTGCGCGTGCGCCTCGGCGAGTGGGACACGCAGCAGGAGAGCGAGCGCTTCCGACACGTGGACGTGGACGTGGCACGTTTCGTGGCGCACGAGGATTTCCATCCGCAGCGCCTCAGTGACGACGTGGCGCTGCTCTTCCTGGAGGAGCCCGTCGAGCTGCAGGAGCATATCGACACGCTGTGCCTGCCCGACCCGGATGTCGTATATGACCAGGCCGAGTGCATCGCCACCGGTTGGGGCAAGGATGCCTTCGTGGCCGGCCTGTTCCAGACCATACTGAAGCAGATCGAGCTGCCGCTCGTGCCGCACGCCCCCTGCCAGACTGCGCTGCGTAAGACCCGGCTGAAAAAGTACTTCGCGCTGGATCGCTCTTTCACGTGCGCCGGCGGTGTGGGCGGCCAGGACACGTGCACCGGTGACGGCGGCTCGCCGCTGGCCTGTCGTGATCCTCTTGACCCCAGCCGCTACATCCAGCTGGGCGTCGTGTCGTGGGGCATCGGCTGTGGCCTGGAAGGCGTGCCAGGCGTGTACGCCGATGTCGCACAGCAGGTGCCCTGGATCCGTGAGCAGGCGGCTTTGGCCGGCCTGACCCTGTAAGACGTCAGGAGCCGGCCTCAGGAGCCGGCCGGACAGACGTCCCTGTGGAGGCGGGGGGCGAGCGTGGGTCGGGACTCGCTGTGATATGGGAGCCGAAGTCGGCTTTGCAGGCCGTCTGGAGCCAACAACAGGGTAGCTGTAGATGAGTCGGCCAGGATGCCCGCCGCGACGCTGTGCTTTGACGAGAGTTCCCCTGCTTTCTTGACCGTTGTACTTGACATGCCACCACTTATTGACTGGCATGGAACTCTCTACGCTTTGGTATCACGTACTGGATGAAGTGTATTGGCGAAGAGATGCTCGAAACTAAGGGTAATTTTGCGCTTCGTTAAAGAAATAAGCAAGCATCATAAATGCTCACCAGCCATACCACAGCAGCCCACGTACCAACATATGAGACATTACAGTGAGCACCGGGCATAGCTCTCTGAGGTGATTCCAAACAACCGCGCATTCTCCAAAGCGACGTCACCGCCTGAGCAGCCTCCTGAAGGGACTCACGCAGCCCTGTACTATGACCAGTGAAGCATGGCCTGATTACTGCACGTGCAGTGATCCGTAGACGGTCACTGCACGGGACATGACGCGTGACCGATCACTGCACGGGACATGACGCGTGACCGATCACTGCACGGGACATGACGCGTGGCCGATCACTGCACGGACAGTGACCCGTGACCGATCACTGTGTAGGTACACACAGTAAACACAGTACACGTATATACACGTATACACAGTGATGGGTCACGCATCCCGTCCAACATCGGTGGGGCTTCCTGGCGTAGCGTGAGACAGTATGTAAACCGGCCATGGTTTGAAACTGCCCCCGCCGCACCAAACACGACCATTAGGCCGAGAAATCAGTACGGTTATCAGTACAGTACGGCTCGACGCTCCAGTTGACCGGCCCGCATCAGCAAAGCAGCGCTAGTTGTTGACAGGTTTGTTGACCGGGGAAAAACCGCGTGTGTAGCCCTGCCAGGTGGGATAAGACCCCCCCCCCCCCCCCCCCCCCCCCCCCCACCTTCGTATTGGCAATGACGGAGAGGTCAATCCATCTTCCGAAATCAGTCATCATCGAGACTAATGGATGCGAAAGCCAGATCACCGTCAAAGCAACATGCGCAAAGAAATGTTTGTCCGACATGTTGTAAGGATGTTCGCTGCTCCGCGCCAAGAGTCCCGCCGCGCCGGCGTCGCCGTCACCCCAGCTGGCATCAGAAGCGCCACGCCACGCAAGAACTAAGCAAGAGGGGGGGGGGGGCACGCAGAGCGCGCCCGAGGCGCGAGCGGGCGTGACTTGCACCGTCGCTGGCGACCGAGATCTAGCCCAGGGGCACGTTAGGGTTAGGGTTAGAGTTAGGACCAGGTGGGATAAGCGCCGCCCCCCCCCCCCCCCGCCCCACCTTCGTATTGGCAATGACGGAGAGGTCAATCCATCCTCCGAAATTAATCATCATCAGTTACTGGTCATGCGGCGTTCCCGGCCGGCACTGCGTCTCGGCCGTGCTCGGCGCTTGGCCCGCGTGAAGCGACGAACTGGTGTGTCAATATGCGCCAGTTTGTAAATACAGGTGACGGTCTGCTCTTCAAAGGCTGTTTAGCCAGGCGGCGAAAGGGCACTCGTGCCCGACGTGGGATGGTATGGCGTCCGAGACCGTTGACGCGCACTTCGACGCGACAGCTCGCTCGTTAGCCCGCGCCGAGGCTGTCTTGATTTTGCCGTTGGAGGCGGCCACGTGGAGGCGCCGCGGCTCGTCATGGCTCTCGCCTGTCTCACGGCGGCCTGACGCGGCGTACGGGCGACGCCTGCATATTCCTGAAGGTCACCCATGGCGTCAGTCTGTTGGCTGGTTAGACGGGTTGTCTTTTCCAGTTCCCTTAACTTTTCTAGACAGCTCGCGCGGCCGGGCCCTCACTAAGCCCCGTCCAGCGCATACGCACGAATTCCTGTAAAGGGGGCGCGTGTGCTCCACCCGTTTTCCATGCATTTTCTGTTGCACTGCTTGACCCGGCTCGTCTCACTGACTGATCAGAGCACGACGTCCATCCTTGGTTGGCAAGGGCTCCTCTCGTCTGCGAGGGATCCGCCACGGGCACCGGAGGCTGGGTGCTGGGAGTACGGCGTTGAACGGTCATAAGCAGACGGGATCTCTGGGCTTTTAGCCAGCGGTCGGAGGGAGAGATTACCTGCCGTAAGTGCTGAGGCATCGCGGTGAGATGCGCCGAGCCCGCTACGTATGGAGAGACCCTCGGGGATTCTGCGAGACCAGGGGAGGTCGCTAGCAAGGCGTCGGCCGGGGCAGCGCTTGGAAGGAAAGGCGAAACGTGGCCGAATAGCACGACTGGACTACGGCTGGGTTGAAGAGTCAGACGACCGCAGTCCTGCTTTTACGCGGATGTATGTTTGTGGGTAGCGTTACTTGAAGGCAAGGCTTCACTTTTTTGGACTAGAGCAGGTCGGCTGGTTTCGTTGTCTCTCACTCGACCTCAGGCGTGGCGGCATGAAGAGGCATGGGTCATGGTATGACCAAGGACCAGTGGAGACCGCAGGGACCAAGGACCAAGGACCGACCGATATTTGTTGATGTACAACGCCTTGGTAGTAAGCGGGGCACAGCCTGTTCTCTTCCGGCGTGGTATGCGCCAAGCCTTATGAACTCTTGATGAGGAGATGTTCGTGATGGATAGAGATCCCGCCACCGGCATTTATAGGAAGGGTGGCAAAGAACCGGGTGGTCGGGCAGGCCGGTCAGGTCGAGCCTCCCAGAGTGCGCCGGCAGTGTACACCGGCGTAAACGCAGATTACGTCGGGCGTTCGCTGTCTGCCGAGGGGCTCCACCGCCCTATCGGGCGCCCTGTCTCCCTCCAGGCCCCTGAGGGACGCGGCGTGGGGCAGTGCCTTGCAAAGCTCACTTCGGTAAACGGGAGGCGAGGGCGCAGAAGCCCTGGAGGCTACGTCTCCGTGCTGGCCGAGGCGCTGCCTAACTCG